TAAGCCTTCTTTTAAAACTTTAATTGATAACATAAAGTGTATAAAGTGAGCTAATTTTAAATGTACAGTTCCACACACTTTTATAAACGCTCATCTAAGTTTTCAAATGTATTTACAGCTCCAAAAACTCACATCAATTACAAAAAAATGTTTAAGAGGGAAAATTATCTCCTCATTCAACAAAGTACAGTTTTAAATTTTCCTGAGTTCCTCCTCCTTATTCATATATCTACATAAGCCATTTTCCCCTGCTTTAGTATTGTATCAACCACATTTTTCTATGTTTGAGGTATAATTTATGTACAGTAAAAATTGACCTTTTTAATCAACAGTTCTAACAGATACAGTTGTGCAGTGACCATCACATTTAAGATATAGGACAGTTTCAGTACCCTCTTTGTAGTCAAGGAGATTGTTTCAATGGTTCCTAATGAGGAATTTATTTGCCTTAAAGAAAAGAAAGTTGATCCCTAACAAAGGAAAGTAATATGTAATTACAAAATAGGTACCATGAACCCTGGCTTCAACTTTCTGTGCAAGGGGTTAAACTCGGTGCAACCCCTGAGGGCTCATAGATCTCTAACTTGTGCTGCTGCTTCTCAAAAGGTTAATTGCCTAGGGTCTCCAACAATGGAGATGGAGCCTATTTATTTTGTTTAATTGAATTGCTGTGGCTAAAGAAGAAGGAAAATGAAAAGGAAAGACTGTGAAACATTTTAATCACTGATATTAGGAAGATGTGCTATCCAGAGATCCAGGTATAATATGGACGATGCTAAAAACAAAACAAAAACCCTGGGACAGTTGGGAGTCTTTCTAGAAAGAACTAGAGGCTGTGTCCCATCCTCTGGGTAAAGAAGAGCTAGGATCCCTACACATAAAGAAAAGTTGTTGGAAGCATTTGAGATCTTGCTTCCTGACATATTTTGTCAGTTTGGCTCAAATAAACTCTTATTACAAAAATTCCCCACAGGTTTCTTTACATTGACATGTACTTGGTGTAGTATGGCAGGATTCTTAAGAAGCCCACCCAGAACCACCCTGGACCCTAGCGAGGGCCCATTGTGCCCCACCACCTCCGTGCTTCACATTAGGTGAACTTGGGTGAGTTTCTCTCAGAATTGCGGGCTTCCTTGCTTCAAGTAGAAGGCCACGACTTTATTTGAGCTGCTCTTAGAAATTCCTCCAAGTGCATAAGGGTTGAGATAATCCAGGGAAAGAGGAAAAAAATGAGTTTCTGCTTTTAATCTCGACTTTTTAATTAGATTGCTTACTGAGAGCCTGTGACAAAATCTTTGCTGGGTAAATGAGAGACTGAACTCTCTAGCTCCAAGAGACAGGATACTTGCTTCCCCAACCCAAATAGCCAATGGGATGATGATAGTTGTTCAGATTCCCAAATCCGGAATCACAGAGATGGGCTCCTGAGTCATCCAGTGCAGTACAGTAGCCAATCCCGGAGAAGCTAGGAGGAGCCCCAGGGAGAAGAACAGGATACCCTGGAATGCGTGCACCCCAAGAGAGGGGCCCGGGAGAGGGGCCCATGCCTAGAAAATCATCCCGGTTCTGGTGGCATCTGGTAAGCTCTCGCTGGCCCTTGCTTGGGTATTCTTAGATGACTAAAATCTCTGTGGAGTTGTCTAAGAAAAATTTCCCTTAGGGCATGAAGCAGCCCTACAGGGATATCTGGGGCATTTGGCTCATCTGGAGACATGTATGTAAGGGCTGGTTTTCCCTAGAAGTTTGTTCAGATTCTACAGATCTCAACATTAACATGGAAAATCATGCCTCCCAGGCCAACAAGACAACACAATTAGCCTCCCGTTTATAACTAAGATAGCCAACATGAGGATCTTTTGATACTTCTAAATTAATCTTTTGTGAGCACAATTAGAAAAAAACAACTACAAAATTAGGCAGAATTTAATTGGCCTCTCAATGCTTCAAAAAGAGGATTTAGATAAATGGGTCAACCCACGAGGTCATTTAGGTGTCAACCCAATTCTTTGAA